TGTTGAATTTATTCTAAATTTTTGGAACAGGTGGTTTTCTGTATCTATTGTTTTATATCCACAGATGCAACCATCCATGGCTTGAAGATATTTTTTAAAGTCCAAAAAAGCAGACCCTAGTTTTCTTTCATCATTTCATATAAGAGACAGCATTTTACTATACTTTTTATATATAGGGAATTGAGCATCCACAGATTTTGGATCCGTGAGCCAAACACCAGCAGATACCAATGGCTTAATATATGTTCTTTGTTTTAAGTGCACAGTAAAATAGAGAAAACTTTCTTTTGTTCATATACTAGATGGAACGAATTTGAGATTTAATAATATTGGATGGAGGAGAAACCAAAGCCGAAAGATCAGCTATGCTGTTCCAAGAGGTTAAATAATTGTTAAAAATCTGGGTTTGAATCCTTGTGTAGTCAACTATGGTAGAGATGTCCCTTTTTTCATTGAGGGATATCTTGTTTTTGTTATATACTGTATACAGTAGGGAGAAAAATGATGGCCCCTCCATGATACAGAAATAGTATGTACTGAATTTGAATGGTGTTAATAGGAATGACTAACAAAGTCATTTTGGAATATTTTACCAGAGTTCACAAATATTTTTGAAATATATTTTGTTTGTTTAATTTTTAATTGAGACAGAAGAATTTGAGAATTAAATTTTCTGAAGCAGACCATACTTTGGATTGCAAAACCTTTTATTAATGGGTAAAATTAGACAGATAGAAAGCATAGTGATTTGAATGCTGGCTCTGGTTCAAATAGGGCTTAGCCATGGTGACTGACTGGATAACTTTGGGCAAGTCAAATTCTCTCAGAAGACAATGGCAAACTCCCACTGAACAAATATTGCCAAGTAAATTCTGTGATCGGAGAAATAGACAGAAGACACAGGGAAAAACTCAGTATCTTTTTGAGATACTGAATACTATTCACAAAGAAAAGAAATGTCACCTTGACATATATTTCTTTATTAACAGTGTAATATGATATAGGGTTAGGGTTTTTTTTTAAACGTTAATCCCTTTTTGTTCAATATCATTTGTTTCTTTTAAGACTGTAATCCAAGTGTTCTTTTTACATAGTGGAATGGTGTATCAAAGGACTTTAAAAAGATACATATTTAAACTATGTATTTTTAAAAAAGAAGTACAAGCAACTTATTCAAAGACATGAATGTAATACTGAGTCATTCTTGGTCCTTTCCCCCACTTCTCAAAATCTTCAAATTAAGAAAATACTTTTCCAAAAGCTTGCAGCATAATGGTTGCTAGCAAGTAAATCCCAGTTTTGGGGAGCTGCATAGATTAGTGACAAGTACCCTGCTAGGATAAGGCAGAAAGTGGCAAAATTGCTGCCCCAGTATGTCTCCATTTGTAGGCAATCGTTTCACTGAGGTTCATAACAGGGCTTAATTTGTTTATTTATTTATTTTGAATTTGTGTACCCTGCCCTTCTCAACCCCCTGGGTGGACTCTGCTGTATAAATATCTAGCTTGCAGAAATTAAACTATTTGCATGAATATTTTCCAATGCTTTTCTGTTTGTTTATTTATTGAATATGCATTTAAGAGGGACAACATTTCAGACTCACATGAGCATGAGAGGGAGAAAGCCAAGGTGTAGTAGCTCAAATGCAGGAGTAGGACTTTGGCAAATCAGTCTTTGCATCCCTAGTAAGCTACAAAAAAATAGCTAGGCGACCTTGAGCAAGTCATTCTCTCTAATGACCACATCAGACAGGGTATAATTGGAAGCATGGGTTGGCTTGCCTTCTCTTTCATTACGGAGCCCACCAGCTCCCATCCCACTATGCACTGCAACTTCCAGTGGGCTTGCATGGTAAAAAGGAAGGTGAAGTGGCCCATGCTGCTACCGTGTTGTCTTGGATCAATGGGGGGAAGCTGGGTGGCAGACCCCCCTGTGGGATGGATTTACTGGTAGGTCTGGCAATGCTAGGTGTGGGACGATGGGTAACCCATACCCCCTGATGGGCACTACCACACTTGATCTTAGCCAAAAGGTCGAAAAGCGATGGGCACTACTAGGCTCACCACAATTCATGCTGATTCTGGCTGCACATGTGAAGAAGTCTTTAGCCTAACAGCAAGCAATAACTGAATAAACCTTGCCAAGAAAACCCTATGATAGGACCACCATGAGTAACATCATAATAGCCACAAATACATTTGGGCAAATTTAGAAGTTGGAGCTAGGGAGACTGTATATGCTATAGACCAGGGGAATATGGTTTTTTAAGGTTTATATTGTCTTCAACTCCCAGAAACCTCCGCCAATGTGGTCAATGGCATGAGATTGCAGGAGCAGCAGTGTAAAACATCTGGAAGACCTAAGTTTATCCACTCTTTAAGCAACCACTGATTTCACACTTGCCAGAAAAGAAAGATAGAAACCACTCCTGTAATAATATCCCTGCCATTTAATAGGCTTCAGTTTCACAATGCATACCTATGTATGAAATCTTATCGTCTCATAGAAAGAGACAATATCTTAGACACAGGGCATACAGTTTAACATGTAGATTTTTTCTGGTTTAATCTCCACCATCTTCAGCTTTCTTTGTTTTTAAAAGAAGTAGGTGCAAACTATTGGATGTCAAAACAAGATAATGCATAACTAAGTGGACAGATAGTCTGATGTGAGAGCTTCTTATACTTCCACTACAGTCTCCTAAGAATTGCTATATTTCTTCATAGTTTACATTAGATATATTTCCTATCACCAAATTGTTTCATTTAGGGATGTTAGGATGGAACTTGGACCTTTTGAGTGTAAAACGTAGCATTTGCCAATGTCCTATTGTCTCTACATGATTTGGGTAACAGTATATTGACACTCCCGTATACACTTTTTTACTCAAGGGAGATTCTCACATCCCAAGCATTTTGATGATCATGGCTGACATTTTGGGAACACTGTGAAGTTTGAAGCCTCTTATTTACCTTCAAAAATTGTTTTCAGAGATGCTATCCTTCCTTCGCCCTACAATCCCAGTTCTCCATCTGCACATGACATTTAAAAGTGACAGATTGTTGTCATGTTTGTGTCTTATTTTCTCAGTATACTTCAAACAGAAAAGAGCAAATCGTCCTCTTTTATCTTTTTTTAAAAAAAACAAAACAAAAAAACCCTGGAACCCATTTGGATGGGAGAAAATAAATAATTATCTTAAGATTGCACAAAAGAATATTTTGATACAAAGATTTCTATTTCACAAACTAAGAACTATATTTACAGTTAATCTAGATACAACTTTACCACCCTAGAATGTTTTTTTCTTTTAAAGGTCATAAAGAAGCAAGTTTTAAAAATCTTTGTCATAGATTGAACAGATCAATTGACCTATTATATTTTGTCAAATAATAGCCAAGTATTTTTAAACTGAAAGTTATGAGAGCAAAGTAATTAATAACTCTAGGTTTAATTTTTATGTTTATTCTATTCTATTGTACTTTCTTGCTTTATTTATATCCGACTCCCCAACCTCCTCAAAAAATAAAAATAGTTCTTTCCTAATCAAGATACTAACTTTACAAAAAAAACCCAAAAAAACAATTGCTTCATTTATTCAACTTCTTAACTTTAATACACAAAGATAATATTGGTGGATCATTATTTTAAATATACTAATTTGCAACTGGCTAAAAAGCATATGCAAGCTATTGAATTATCTAGAACACCCCAACATGAAGTTCTGTGTAACTCCAAGATTTTTGCATTCTTTTTCTAATAAAAATTAGCTAAATCAAAGCTACTGCCTTATTTTATATTTCCTAATTTCCCCACAGCATGGCTCTTCAAATAGGTGGAAAAATAAAACAGCTTCGACTCTGTTGACATTTCTTTTTCTTTCCATGTTCCATTATCTCAACGTTCTGCAGTAGAAATTGCATACCTGCAATTACAATTACAACTAATTGATCTGCCATTTCCGATGCCATAATTAATGTCATGTTTTAATAGAGTTATAATCATTCCATAATAATGGTTTTCATTCACCAGATTTCCAAAACGGGTAAGAATACAGTGCTCAAAAGCAATCAGCAGTTATGAGGCTCTTTCAAAATATCCCAGAAGGAACATCTTAGTATAATGATCTTGCAAAACAGATTTTGTTCTCGTTTTTATCTGGACAGTAAAGTAATATTATGCAAGCTCTTTTTTTTTCAGTGTGACTTACCCCCAAACATCCATAAGCATAATAAAATCAATGACTCAATGGCAAATGCATTATGTCTCCAAAAGAGTTATTTAATGTACACTTAGAGCAAGGACAAGGAAAAAGATGGTTTCAGGAGAACAGATGGCAACAAGACAAAATACCATCAAACCATAGTTGTTGACTACAATTTATGTTGTGTACAGATGTTGCAACTTAAATGCAGGGATTTGGATGCCAATAAAAAGTACTTTGAGCCCACAAATTAATTTTTCATGGCCACCAGTTGCAGTGCTGGTTCATTTTTAGAACGAATTATTTTCCTGCAAAAGCACAGAGACCAACTTCTGAATTTAATAGTGAAGGACAGAAAAGAAAGGGAATCAGAAACAAAACATATTGTAATGAGTGCCCAAAAGGAATGAAAAATATGTGCATGGAGACGCTTTCACAGCATTCAGGGATCACAATACAACCCAACCATGTCTTATCCATCAATTTTGATACTCAGAATGGGGAATCAACACAAACTTTCAAACCAATAAATAATTTAGTTTAAGATCAGGATGAATTCTGAACTAGCCAGGGTCAGGGGACAGAAAGGCAGAGAGGAATATATTACTATACATGAACATATATATGCAAGTGTTCACAAACACACACTTCAAACTTGTCACTAGTATGGATGGACAAGGAGAAGTTATTCAAGCCAATGACAAGGAAACCATATGGTAATGTCGTCATACATTGAAGTCAACTTTAAGGCAGATAACAACAATAAAACAAGGAGGAAAGAAAGCCTTCCACTTACCTGAATCGTATGCAAAATCTCTAGGCTCCTGTTTAATCATCATAGGAGGGGGGAAGTTCTGATTGAGTGAATTGCTAACCATGGCATTGTGTTCATACACTGGATCATGATACTCCTGTTTAAACCCTTGTGGTGGGAAAGGGATGTTTGGCTCAGACATCTGCCGTTGGTACATTGGGCGGCCTTCCCTTGGTATGGCGGGCAAAGGAGGAAATGAATTGCAAGGTTCCGAGAGCTGACGGCGGAATCTAGAGGATCAGATATAGAGAATTCAGTTTGAAATTGGGTGGTGTTAACAGAACAAAAATGGAGGGGATGGAGAAAGAAAGGTGAGTGTCAGAATCAAAAAATGTGTAGGGGCTGAGAGGTAAAAAGTGAAAGAACCTTTGTAACAGGTCAGGGGACAATAATGTGGTGGACATGGTGCATATAAACCCTTCTGCAGAGAAATAGTCACTGATGTTGTTCTTGACAAGCATTAGGTATTCATCGCTTGGCTAGAATTAGATACTCAAAATTGCCCCAGATAAAAGTTTTATGAAGGCCCACCATGATAAGCTATTTTAGCTTTCTTTTCTCTACATATCCCTACAAGTAATAACAGTAAAAATAAAAAAAATCAACTATTACAAACATAAATGCTGAAACTTCAGATAAAGCATGAGAACCACACCTAACATTGTAAATTCCTCTCTTACTTGAGATACATCACAAAAATAGGAATGAAAGGGTTGATTGCATGGAAAGCTATAGTAGATTCTGACACAGAAGACTTCTCAGGGGCCAGCTGGCTTGTTTGCTTCTCAGTTTTTAAAAGCAAGATACAATGCTCTATATCTCACCATTTTAAGTGTTGGTCTACATGTAAATGACAAACAATTGTTTGATGTAAAGAAGAGGTGTTGAATATGCTTTAGGTTTACGCACTTGTCTCTCCTCCCTGCAAGGATTTCCTACCCAGCTCAGAGTTTGCCAAAATAGTATGACTCCGATATATGCAGAAGATCCATTTCTGAATTTACAGAAATAGGAAATTGATAACATTTGTGAACCCTACTGTAATGTACACCTTCTGCCAGAAGGTACCACAGCGATGCTCTGGAGGACCTAGAAAATTCCTAGGGGGCATCCATTAGGAATTCTCCATATCCTCCAGAGCAACTCTATGGTAACTTCTGGTGTTAACATGTCATATAATCACCTAGAAAATTCCTAGAGATGACACATTTTGTCAGATGCACATAAGTGAAACCACAAATACTGGTCCTACAGATATGGAGATCACACTATATTTCAAAAAACTAATTCAAGAAAGTTTCCAGTTTAGATTTAGAAATAAAACATGTGTTATTTAAACTATTTGGGGGATTCAGATATATCAGGAAACTATGGATGGCCTGAAAGTGAAAGAGAAATTTTTAATAATTACAAAAGAAGTCGCAGCCTTGATGAACTGTCCTAAAAACATCATTTGGTAATTAAATATGACTGCTAATATGTGGCCTAACCACTCTTATATCACAATTCATACTGTTTTACATTCTCATATTTAGAAGACATAGTATAAACTGTGCGTGCGTGTGTGTGTGTAACATATATATGTAACATAACAAATTATTTGGACAGTTTTTACTGCCTGTTTTTACTCAGAGAAGAAAAATAGATGAAGATACAATAATTAAACACTCCTCTGATACTAAAGAATTATTTATATAATATGGAGCAGCATTTTCTTGTGGGGAACATTTAGTCCACATGAGTCTGCACATGCTGTTAGAAGCAACAAGTCCGGGGCAGTAATATTTATTGTTAAACCGAATATTATTTGCTTAAATTCAGCTACATATCAGTCTAAAAGCAAATCCATTCCCCACTGATAAAAATATTATATGCCACAGTGGAAGGAGTGATGCTTTTGCAATTCACCTACATGTTTAGAAAATAAAGAGAAACTCATGACATTAGGAAGCAACTAAGTATATTGGCAATGCCTTCATTTCCCCCACCCTCTTTCCTTTTAGTTAAGAAAAGAAGTTGAAATTATCATTCAAAACTGTCAAGGAGTGAACTTAAAATAAGAAAAAGTCTCACTTGTAAAGCCTCAGAGGAAGTTAATAATACTTGCACTGGAAGCTTTCTATGGAATCATACCATCTGTTTATACAAGTGGCTTTGATTCCTGTTGCTGCTTGTTAGGCCATTTATATTCCACATGCTTGTGTTTTATTTTAATGAACTGTGTTATTGGAGTTGCAGGTCTGCTAAGCCAGTGGTTCACAAAATTTTGCTAACTGATTGGAATTCCACATCTTCTAGATATCACTAGCCCCTACCCTCCTGATTTTCCTATGCCCCCACTAATATGCAATTACAGAAGAGTTGGAATGTTAAAGAAATCATCACAGTGCATGCTACTTTCACTAGGAATCTATGAAGACAGTTACCCAGTGAGTAGAGCCTACAGAGTTAGACTGACAAATTATGATTATGCAGTTATTATCTATATACTTGGAAGAGCGCATATCACCTGAATAGATTGATGTCATGCAGTTTACAGGTTGAAAAGTACTTGGAAACTATGGCTAATACAAAATGCAGCAGCCAGGCTGTTGTCAGGTATGTGTTTGAGACCACATTGGTCTTACACTAGCTCACTGACTCTCGGGTCCCATCTACGCTGCCATATAAAATTCAGATTGTCTCCTTTGAACTGGATTATATGGTCGTGTAGATACATATAATCCATTTCAAAGCAGATAGTCTGCATTATCTCATTTGATATCTGGATTATATGGTAGGGTAGATCCAGCTTCAATGTTCTTCCAAACTCAACTGAAAGTTTTGGTTTTGACCTATAAAGCCCTACATGGCTTTAGAACAAGACATCTAAAAACGACCTTCTTCATTATGAACCTGCTAGACATCTGAGAGCTTCAGTGGATCCTATTGCATGCCCTACCAAATTGGTAAGTAGACGTGATAGAGCATTTTCTGTAGTGGTAACCCAATCATGGAACTTCATGCTGCGTTGCATTCGACTGTGAAGACTGTACATTACTTCATATGGCATTAAATCCAAAGCATTAGGTTACTTCTATTTTCAAGGAATACAGAAGCAAAGCGTTAGCAGTATGGGTTTTCTGGACAATTCTTTGTGATATCCAGACACTGGAATAATGGCCACAAACTTAGATGGCTTTAAAGTAAATTGAAAACTTTTTGAGGACTATGACTTTAGGTCACAATGAGTCCCTATGGGGAGATAGGGTGGGATATAGATAAAGTATTATTATTATTATTATTATTATTATTATTATTATTATTATTATTTGATTCATAACAAGATTAGTACACAGCAAACAAGGTCACTATGCTGGCTTTTGTATTTGATCACATGTTGGACACTTCCCAAGTGACTTGGACTGTGTGATGTATCAGCGAATAATGTGTGCAAATTCGAATAGGGTGACTTTTTGCAGCTGACAAATGGTAATTTTGTCAGTGCCAAGTGTTTTTAAGTGCAGGCCAAGGTCTTTAGGCACTGCACTCAGTGTGCCGATCAACACTGGGACCACCTTTACTACCTTGTGCCAGAGTCTTTGCAGTTCTGTCTTTAAATCCTCATATTGTTAAGCTTTTCCAGTTGCTTCTCGTCAATTCTGCTGTCACCTGAGATTGCAACATCAACGACCCATACTTGGTTTTTTCCCATGATTGTGGGATCAGGAGTATTGTGCTCCAAAACTCTGTTAGTCTGAATTATTATTATGTGAAACACAACAAGATGAGTCCACAGCAGGCACTCTGCTGGCTGTTGATTTGGACCACACGTCGGACACTTCCCAAGTGACTTTCCCAAGTGACTTTTGAATTATTATTATTATTATTATTATTATTATTATTATTATTCCATGATTTCCTCTGAAGGATGACAATTTATGAACAATCCAAAATGTGTTGGGATTTTTAAAAGAATAAATTCATGCCATCTATAAGGAGGTAGAGACCCGTCTCCTTTTTCTGCTTATTCATTACCTCCTACATCAGGAGCATTGTGTCTTACTCCACTATGCATGGCTGAATAACTCAATAACAGCTGCAGGTATACTACTCAATTCATGTCTTGCTCTATAGGCTACTTATAGTCATCTGAATGGCATTGTGGCACAGAATGCTGGACTAAGTAGGTCTCGGCTTGATTATTAAGTATTCTTAAGTATACATGGGAACCATAACTTGTAATTACATGAGCCATAGTGGCATAAACAAACAAATTCAAGAACGCTATATTAGTTGGGGCCCCATGCCCTTCTTCATGTTGGCAAGTGAGAAGGGGAACACACAGTATTACATCTGAACTGACTACCTGAATATGTTCCGGGCAGGTTAGAAAATAACCAAATAAGTAAATGTTTGATTAGGCTTGCATAAACAATTATAATCACAATTCAAACACAGTCACAGCAAAAGTTAAGCAAAATAGATTGAGCTCAATCAATGAATGCTTTGCCTTAGGACCTCAAATACAAAAACTCAGCAGGGTGATTTAGGGACGAAGCTGAAGCTTCAATTCAGTTTTTTAGCTTTTATGGTTTCACTCAGGCTAAAGTTATTTGAACATAGTTTGTTTTGGCAGCTTAACTTCCTTTTCCTAAGCTGTTTCATTTCAAAAGGCTCAAAGGGGGGAAAAAACTACACCCTTTCAATGGATACTATGCAAATTTTTAGAATAAGTAGTAATGTCTATATAAACCATGTCTATAAAGAATTTAATGAACTCTTTTTTTAAAAAAAAACAACAACACTGAGTACATTGTTAACTTCCTGCTAACCATGTCACACTGTAATGAATGATTTAGTACATTAGTGATCAAACTGATTCCAAGCAAATGCATTACATGTGTCTCTATATTTAGTCCCTTATGCCCACATTAATGATGGTGAGATTTCAGAATTAACACAAATGAAAGATTGCTTCATTGTAGCACCACATTTCTTAAAGACCTCCCTTTTTGCCTCATCACTTTCTCCCTTGACATCCAGAAAGACAGAAAGCCAATAAACCCTCAATTGTGAAGGACAGAAGTACAGACTAAGCAAGATTGAATTCTCTTTTGCTGTCATTTATACTTCCCAAGGCCTTTCACATCTCTGATTCTGCAGTACTTCTGCATATATAGATTTAGATCTAAGGTTTAGGTACAAATATTTAGGGGTAGCCAACTGCAAACAGAGTGGATAATGGTGGCTATCATTAATGAACATCGGAACACCCATCAAAAACCCAAGGAAGAACACTCTTTTACCTGTGGTCCATAGGAAAGCCGTTGTCTGGAATGGGCTGTGATGGAGGCAGGTGAGTAGGAAAAACCCGGTCAGGTTTTGGATTCTGAGCCGAGTTTGGGGAGGCATGATGCAATGGCGAAACTGGAGTGCTTGATGGAGTTGATGGGTTGGAGGGCCTCATTCCCACTTGTGGCTTCTGATCATAGGCACTGCCAGTTAAATAAAGGGAAATGTAAGGATCTTTAGTCAGTGCCAACATATATGTTTTCAGTGAAACAGTCTCCTGGGTTTAATACCTGCCATCTCCAAGAAGGACTATGTGAAACCCTGAAGAGTGTTCCCCAGTCAGTTCAGACACCATTGAGCCAGACAGGGATATGGTATCAAACATATTCCTGTAGGCCAGCCAACGGCTAATGCTGGTCTTGGATATTGGGAATGTGGATATTAATAACTGTGTATCAATGAACTAATCGTTCTCTATCTAATCTCTGGCTCAGAGTTGTGGACAGCACTACTGGCAGAAGTAATATACTTCACAAGTAACTGTTGATTACTCTTTAGGCTTGCTAGTTGCACCAGCCGTTTCTTTGGAAATCTTCATAGGTTCGTTATTTGTAAATTAAGTGGAATATGTTGCATTGCAATAAAAGAAAACCCTCATGATTTTGGACTGTATTGAAAAATTTAGAGAACATTACAACATGAATATTAATTCAGAATGGACATGCCATATAATTTTTTAAAGTCAATCAAACAAAATCCTTCTGCATACCCAACACAAAAAAGAACAGATAGCAGAATAACTTATTTTAATTTTTGTTCAAAACATCATGGATCCTTGGTTCAAGTTACTGAGATGACATTCATTTCTGAAAAGGCGTATATGTACAGTATTTATAAAAAGTTGATTGTCCCACTAATCATAAAAATAGTATGCACAAATGTGGATCTAAAGTCTTGTAGCTGACGTGTGTAACTTGTGAAAACAGCTCAAGTGGACAAAGCATGTGGATAGGCACTTCTTTGTTACCAGAGATTTAGTTTACAATATTATGAGGAAAACATGCAAAAAAAACAACAACTGAGTTTATATAAGAGGACTGCTGTTCTTCATTAGGACAAAAAAGTGGTTGTAGAATGGAGGTGTACAAAGTGCAGCCCTCCAGTTGTTGCTGACACATCCAGTATTCACCACAATTGGCTATGTTGACTAGGGCTTATGGCAACTACAATCCAACAAATATCGGTATTTTGTCAAATCTTTTTTAGAAGATTATTGCATAGAATTTGTTCGTTCATTCATTCATGAATTCAGTTTTTATCTCATCTTTCTCTAAACATGGGGCTAAAAGCAGAATAGAAATGGAGGGCTGAGTATAATTCTTTCTCCTAAGTTTTCAGTAAAACAACATATGTAGAAATTTCATACCACCAAACGAAGGTTTTCAAAAGAAAAAACTATTAAAGAGCATACTGCGATCACGCCAATTAAAAATTGTCCTAGAAGCCATTTTAGAAGTTTTGCTCTTCAGTCTACATTCCCGAAGGGAAGCAACCTGCTTGTGAAGAGATAATAGTATCTGCAAAGGCTAATAAAATGTGGTTTTTAACAATCATTCATGAACGTACATACATACATATCAACTGTAAAAGTGGTTGAAATGTCTAATGTGTTGCTTAGACCACCCTCTGGAAAGAAGAGTTCTTTCAATCTAAAGCATGTAGAACATATCTTTTTTTAAAAAAAAGGAAACTTCACAAAATGTAATTTAAAGGTGTTTACGCAAACACATAGACACTTCTAAATCATGGCAAACATAGCTTACTCTTTTGAACCTTAGGCTGTTTAAAAATGCAAATGAATCACAGATATAAAGGAATAGTCAAAGAGAAGTTGTTGATTTAAAATGATTTCAGAACATGATAAACAGAAATGCAAATTTATCCACCACTCTTCAACAAAACGTCATCACTCTAAGGCTGTTTCTGATATTCTGTGGTTTGTTCTTTCTTCCTGAGGCCTGTATTTTAAATTTTGTTTCAAAATTAGGTGGCATTGTAATTTTTAAAAATTGAGGTAATAAGGCAAACTTCCCTAAAACTGCAAATGCAACATCTTTGTACAGTATAAACACTGTAATTATACTTCTGGTGGAAGCACACCACAGAATCACACTCTTAGACTGCCTAAAGAGAACAATTTTCTAGATGTACCAGCACATCTAGAATGTGTCCAGAGGAGGGTGACTAAAATTATCAGGGGTCTTGGAGAACAAGCCCTATGAGGAGAGAATTGAAGAGTTGGGCATGTTTAGCCTGCAGAAGAGAAGGGTAAGAAGAAAGATGATAAAAGATAAAGGTTTCTGTGAAGATCCCTTACCTTGCCAGCCGGGGTGGCAGGGCCTAGGAAGAGACAGGCTAGGTAGTTTCAGCTTAGAAGGCCTGGCAGAGGGCAGCAGGAGCCATCTTAGTTTAGGGAAAGCTCCAGTTCAGAGAGGGGGAGTGGCCTGGGCCTGAGCCAGCCCTGCAACAGCCAGGATTGGTTTGTAAAAGGGGGGCGGAGTTAGACAGTTGGAAGGAAAGAGAGAAGCTGCTTTTAGTCAGTTCAGTTCAGTTCTGGTTGATGTTAGAGTTAGAGCAGGGTGACAGAAGCTATTAGGAGTTTCGTGATTAGAATAGGCAGTTTTCCTGAAGTTTGCACAGTGAAATAGGCTGTGGCAAACTGGTTACAGCTATTTTAGGGAAAAAATAGCTGGGTTTCGTAATAGGAACTGTAACCAAGATAGAACCATTCTCTCAAGCAACCGTTACGCTTTTAAGAACAAGATCATTTAATTGTAACAGCCAAGCTTATGAAACTGCATTCACTTCATTCTGTAACTTTTACTTCAATAAACTTTCATTGTTATTTTTGAAACTTAAGCCTGAGTCAAGTGCCATTTGTGGATTTAGTCCCTTTTCTTTTTAAAGCAACCTCACCTGTGTTCCCTCAAGGAAGCCCTTTTAAAAGACAGTACTTGGTGGTGTTTAAACAACCTTTTTAACATCTTAAATAGCTAGAGGGTTCCTGTTCATTTATTCTTATGGTGGCAGCGAATGTTTAAATAAAGAGACATCCCCTCAAGTGTTATCTAAGTGCCAAAGCGGTGTGAATTCCTTATTAAAGGAGGGACAGTTGGTGGGATTGTTTGCCCCTGTCCAGAGTTATTGTTTAGCCATAAAGGAGTCATTATAATTTGGGGCAGGTGGTGGGATTGATCGTATTGCCATCTGCCTGGTTATTATAATTGGTGGGGCAGCGGAGGGATTGCTTGACCCCTTTGCCCAGACGGCCTTAAGGAGTTATTATAATTGGTTGGCAGCGGTGTGGGATCGTGTAATATCTCAATCCAGAGCATTTTTGTGGGAATCCTGAGGTAAATTTTTGTCAAAACGTGACACTAAGAATTACCTCAGAGACAGAACACCTCTAGCGCCATTTTAACACACATTAGGCACCATGGCACCACCTAAAACAAAGAAGGGTACTTCTGAAGAACCAGAAAGAGAAGGGGAGACAACTGCTTCTGTAGTTGAGGAAACTGAGACCCAAGTACAAGAGGGTAGACAAGAACAAATAGCTACCTCTTTGACAATTGAAAAGCTTAGGCTAGAAATGAGGTTGAGAGAACTTGAGTTTCAGGCAGAAAGGGAAAGAGAAAAGATTCAGGCTGAAAGAGAAAGAGAAAAGATGCAAGAAAGGGAGAAGGAAAGAATGATTGAATTGGAGAGAGAAAGAATGCAAGCTGAAGAGAGGCAGAGAGAAAGAATGGCTGAGATAGAACGGTTAAAACATGAGGAGAGAATGGCAGAACTACAATTGAGAGACAGAGAGAGAACTCCTAACTTAAGCCAACAGCAGGACTCTAACATGCAAAGGGTGTTAAAGAACTTTCCCCGTTATGTAAAAGGGGACTGCGTGGAGTCATTTTTGGCTACCTTTGAATGGGCTGCCCATGATTTCGAGGTACCTGAAGACAAAATGATGGTGTACCTGAGACCACTACTTTGTGGGGAACTTAGTGAGGTTTACGCTGATCTGCGAGAGACAGAGAGCGGGAGTTACCTCATATTTAAAGAAAGGGTGAAGCTGAGGTTTGGCTTGACTCCTGAACAAAGTAGAAAGATGTTCAGGGAGATCAAAAGAAAGCCAGGAGAAACCTTTTCACAATTGGGAAGCCGAGTGGAAAAAGCCTTAGAGAGATGGCTTGAAGGAAGTAAAACGACCACTTTTGAGGAGTTAAAACATTTAGTTTGTATGGAACAGTTTTATCGACTGATCCCCATACAAATGAGGTGGTTCGTTAAAGACAAGAAGATTAAGCAAGTGGCAGATCTCGCGGCTTGGTTGGATGAGATGGAGCATGACTGGAATGTGAGTCATAGCTCAGGAGCCACCAAGAGACCGAGGGAATGGGTTCCAAAAGAGAAAACTGACGTGGGAAACCAAAATCCTGTCAGGAGGGACCGCATTCCAGAGATTGCCACAGGAAAACTTGTCTGTTACTTCTGCCATCAAGAGGGTCATAAGAAAACGGCTTGCCCTAAATTAAACACCCAGAAAAGGCCAATTACACCACCAAAGCCAGTTAAGGTGGTTAGGCAAATATCTCCACACGAAGAAAGTCAGTCTCCACACGCACAGGAAGAGCCTGTAAAGATAATGCGAGTATGGAGTACTGAGAAAGAGACAAATGGAGATTATTTGAGGGTGATCAAAGTGAAGGGTCAAGAACTAATGGGGTTCAGAGACACTGGGTCTGAAGTATCGCTCATTAGGCCAGAGTTTGTCAAGGAAGACCAGATACTTCCAGGCCAAAAGTACAAGCTGAGAGGAATTTATGGCCCTGTTTTCGAAGTGTCAGTGGCTGAAATCCCAATAGAAGGCTGAAATCCCAATAGAATATAAGAACTTCTCTGGAAAATGGAGAATGGGACTTTTTAGTGATTTAGAAGTTCCGGTATTGTTGGGCAATGATTTGGCTGAGCGCTGTAGACATGTTAATATGATTACCAGAAGCCAAGCTGAACTAGAAGGGGAGGCTGAATACAGTGTTGCTGATGAACAACCATCTACCTCACAAATAGAAAATGTCAGCCAAGAAATTCCCTTCAGTTTAAACCAAAGCCATATGAGGCAGTTTGAAACAGCCCAGCAACATGATGAAAGCTTAAAACCTTTATGGGATGAAGTGGTCCCAGAAAACCACACACCCACAAGTGAAAAGACAGTTTTGTTGAAAGTTGTGGAGAATAAATTGTACCGAGTTGTGAGGAGACAAAAGGGTCCCAAATTCTTTGAGGAAAGAACACAACTAGTAGTACCACACAAGTATAGGGCTAAAATCCTCAAGTTAGCCCATGATACCACCTTCAGTGGACACCTAGGTATCAAGAAGACCAAAGATCGCATTCAGTCTAGGTTTTTTTGGCCCGGAATGGGAGGTGATGTGACAGCCTATTGTAAGTCCTGTGAGACTTGTCAAATGGTGGGAAAAGCCAAAGATAAGACAAAAGGACTGTTACAATCCATTCCAGTTGTCACTGTTCCCTTTGACAAGGTCGGAGTGGACATCATTGGCCCTATGTCCCACAAGACACTTGATGGACATAGATTCATCTTGACTGCCGTGGACTTTGCCACACGATACCCAGAGGCAATTCCATTGAAGGAAACTGACGCCAAAACAGTGGCAGACGCGCTGCTCAATATATTCGCACGCGTGGGTTTCCCTAGATCTATCATTACAGATCTTGGAGCTACATTCATGACGCAGATGATGCAAGAACTGTTCCGGACCTGCAAGATCAAGCATCTGACTTCTACTCCATACCATCCTCAAACCAACGGTTTGACGGAGAGATTCAACGGTACCCTCAACCACATGCTGAAGGTGTACGTCCACAAGAACCCTAATGATTGGGACAAGAAACTTCAACACTTCTTGTTTGCTTATCGGGAGGTTCCACAAGCCAGCACCAAGTTCAGCCCATTTGAACTGTTATATGGGAGAACACCAAGAGGACCTATGGACATTTTGAAGGAAGCATGGACAGGAGCAGAGGACATTCCAGAGAGCGATATCAACAGCTACATCGAGGACTTACGAGAACATTTAACAACCATGAGAGACTGCGCAGCCGAGAGTTTGTCAACTGCCCACCTGAAGCAGAAAGAACAGGCGGATCTACACGCAAGACATCGATGTTTTGATGTGGGAGATAAGGTCCTGGTTTTAAAACCCAGATCTAAGAAGAAACTGGAGGTTTCTTGGGAGGGACCTTATGTAATATTGTCTAAGGTTTCGGAAGTCACTTATCTGGTGGGGGAAAACATAGATGGGGGAAGGTGTAGGAAATTACATGTGAATATGCTTAAGCCTTACTACTCCAGGGCTAGGGTAGTTATGCAAGTATCCCAGGAGACAGATGGGGAGATTTCACTGTCGGGATGGGGAAAGGTAATGGCGGATTGTGCTTTACCCTCTGTGGATGAGAATACCAACTTAACAGATCCCCAGAAACAACAGTTGAAGGATCTATTGTACCAGCATAGGGAGGTATTTTCCAATATACCGGGTAGAACCCATTTAGCTTGTCACCGGATCAATACAGGGACAGCTAACCCTATAGCATCTGCCCCATACCGCGTAACAGGAGAACAAGCCAGACTGATCTCAAAGGAGATACAAGAAATGTTAAACCTTGGTTTAATTGTACCATCGAGTAGCCCATGATCATCCCCAATTGTGTTAGTACCAAAACCAGATAATACCATCAGATTCTGTGTAGATTACCGTAAATTAAATCAGGTT